GAGGTGAAGAAAGAAAGGTGGAAACGAAATAAAGTGCCAAACGGCGTCGAAGGAAGGTGGAGTGACAGCTAAGTCTATTTGGTTTAGCGTTGATGAGGTAACGTAGATACAGACCAATCGTAGCTTCCAATCTGGGAAGGCTGGAGGTGTGGATAAGCACGGACAGAAAAGACCCACTATTGCCCATTTTACCCCTCTTTCCCTCTCTAGGATTAGGTCATTGAGCTATACCTAAAATGGGATGGCTTCCATGAGCAGTCCCTCCCATAGGGCGGGAGCACGTTTCCCCTGTTCCTGAGCTAACCTCCTTCCGCCTTAGCTCATCTCTATTGTCACTCACTCAATCACTCATTCACTCGCTCATCTCCCTTGTTCCTGGTCATCTCATCCTGCTGTGCTGACACCTCCGGACCTCCTCTCATGGTCACTCACGCTTTCTCATCAGGCTTCAGTATTTCTCGGTCTAGCCACTCAAATGACTTACGACTACACAAGGATTGCACAATCTGGGCGGTGGCGAGCAGAGACATCTCCTCTTCAGCACCAGCAATCAGATGTGCCGCGATGAAAGACCGGCCAAGGATCAGGTCCCTGCCGGGTCGAAGTTCCAATCCTTCAATGACACTGAGATATCTCGCCACGAGAGGCTGCTCGTGCTGACTGTTTTTAAGTCGTGACTTGCTGCTCGTCAGCAATACGACTGTAGAGTTGGAAACAGGTCTACGAGGATGAGAAGTATCTCATGCTCATGGCTTCTTGATTCGGGCGCACCTCCAAGATGGTCTCGTGGAACCAGCCATCGAATCAATAATCAGACGGCTCTACCTAGACACACAAAAGTCTAGACAAGATCGTCATCCATTGGCACTCTTGAATCGTGCTGCAAGGTTCACCAGTGGCACCTGCTGTGCTACCCGGGCTTCTTGTCGGTCTCACCCGCTGCAATCGACCGGGCAATCACTATCCCAGAAACAAAAAGGCAAGATCGTTGCTCTGGAATTGGCGGCCGAGTATCCGCAAGGGGCAGGCGGAAGTTGCTTCCCAGCTTTTCACCAGTCGCACATTGATCGGGTTTCCGGTTCATGTTTATATCTTTTGCCACAAGCTGGCAATCGACCAACTGGATTTTTGTCGTACCTGGCGTGCTGGTCATCCGAAAGCAATATCGTCTGCATATCTGGGTCGATGATCTTCAATCTTCTTCCCCCATGCCGGACCTCGACAGTTGCAGGCGCTTCGCATCCCGCATGTCTGCCACCCTCCCGCTTCCCGGCCATGCTTACTTAGTAGGCTAGGCTTTAAACTTACGAAAATTTGCCCGTTACGTTACCTCTCGTCCCCACCACTTGGTGATGCTCAAGACCTAGGCCAGGCAATATTGCACAAAGCACTAAGTCTTCGATCCTGGCGTGCAGCTCGACGGTCAAATTTTGCGCAAGAGGGCCAAAGGCCAACCGCTCAGGGCCTCCATCTAAGCAAAAGTCCCTTGTATGTGCATCGGTCTTGGCCCTTGCTAATGCCACCCGCCCCTCTCCCAACCCAAGGACGGCAGAAACGGCCGGCCGATGCCGCCCCATGGCCGGCCGACCTCACCCCATGTGGCTCAGGCGCAGATGGGGACGAAGTCCGGCAAAACGTGCGCACCTTCCTCTGAGATCAATCTGTCTTACTCTACCTCACTCTTCGAGCCAGAGTCTCGGCATTTATGTCTTTTCTTAGGCCTTTCCCTCACCTGCGGTCACGCCTGTCTTCCCCGCCATGCTAACGTAGATTGAGCTTACACGGTCAGGTCATATCTTCCGAAAGTGGCATCCAGTGATGCTGCTGCAAGATTCTCGCAATGATTTGGCGTCGCGTATCTTGTACTCGGTATATGTACACGAAAGCTCTTTCATTCAGCTGCATGGTCAATTCCTCTCGGGACGCGTACCCAAGCAGCCAAGTTACGAGCATCACATCTCGCTCCCGCTTGGTGCCAGTCTTCTTGGAGCCGGAACTGTTTGCCGTTGTTGTAGCGACCTCTTTGACCGTTCATATGGCCTCTGCCTGCCTTTCGAGGAAACAGCTTGCCAACCACGGCCAATACCCCTGCCGTCATCTCTGCAGGCAGGACTAGGGTCCTGGTGGGCCGTCACACCCCTCCTCTAGTGTCCACATCCATCGGCTCTCTCGCCTCTTGTGCTCTATTGCCTTCGTCCCGATCTTGTATTTGCCAATGGCCATCAAGCGAAGCCTCATGGCAGAGAATATCGTCCCCATTCACTCCGACTGCCGTCCGAGGCACGCCCCTCCAGTATGTGGCACATCGACACACGAGAGGCGACGGGGCCTAGAGCTTAGCTCCCCATGTCGCTGGGTTCCTTCGTCATCCTGTTTCCCTGCCTCTCCATTGTGCTGTTTACTTGACCAACACCCTCCTTCCTTGCCTCATGGGTTGAGCTGGCGAGATGCCCAGCCTATAGATCGCCCACCTTTGTCAACACCATCTCGGACGGAGGTCCCGCGGAACGGACACTGCGTTACGTAGCTTACGAGGTACGGACTGCTTTCTCTGGCTAGAGCTTGCGGGGAACCTCATCCTGCTGTTGACGGGAGCCCTCCTCATCTTGATCCTGAGCTCAGGTAAGGCTGCCTTGCCAACTCAGCTCTTCAGCCTCCCGTCTCCCCATTGTACATACTTATGAGCCCCCAGGTACCATCCTCAGCTTCTTTGAGTCTGTTCTGCCCCCAATCTCCAACTGGCACTCGTTCATGTGTGTTCAGCTTTGACCTGCGGCTCTCCCACACTCGTTAGTCCATTGTCGCAACGCGGCCAGCTTGCATGCTGCATTGATACTGGGCACTCGGGATACCATAGTCTCTCGTTCGTCAGAAGCTCACGGCAATGCGTTGGACATCACTTCTGGCCTTCGGGGCCTTGGCCGCCAGTGTCACAGCACAAGACGGCGGAGCAGTATTTGCGAGACAGAATGATTCTTATGCTGAGCCGTCTGGCGCATACTCGGTTGCCCCTCTGCCAGAAGCCTCATCTTCGGCTTCACCTCAGCCTTCACCCTCGCCATCTCCCTCACCTGAACCTCAGCCGTCATCGGAACCGGCAGCGACGCCCTCGGCCTCGGCTACCAAGGAGCCCGTCGCAGAACCGGCTTCTTCAGTTGAGGCCCAGCCCGCTCCCACAACCACCAGCGCCGACAAGAAGTCGCCAGACTATGGCACCGATACCGATGACTGTAGCCACTGGGCCTCTAAGTGCCCCTGGGGACAGACTGTGACCGTCACCGAGAAGCAGGTCTCGACTGTCACGGAAAAGCAGATCTCGACCTTGACCGTTGAGAAGCCGGTTGTTTCCACGTAAGCTGCCTTCCCCCAAGGAATCCAGGAAACGATATCCCAGATCCTGACTGACCTCAATTAGCCTCACGATCGTCTCCAAAGAGACTGTGTTCACCACGCAAGCCTTCACTACAACAGACTACGAGACCAAGACAATTGTGAAGGTTTCCTCCTACCCTGTGACTACCACAGTGGCTCTGTAAGTATAGGAACCTTCCCGCGAACATCCCGAGCATTTTCAACGCGACCAAGCCATATCCGGCTTCTTGTTCTCTTCTATCTCATCTTCAACGACCCCAAAGTCGTCAACGCTTGCTCTATACGGCAAAGACGCTTAGTTGAAGAGAGACGAAGAGAGGGTGACGGGACGAAATATAGACGACAAGGATCGCGGGTCTGTGGCTTGCGACTCTGCATTTCCCAACCCTCCCTCGACTTCTTTCCCCGTCTGTCACATGATGTGGTGGAGCCTGGGAGAACATTAGCTAACTTGCCTCAGTTGCGATCCTATAGATGCCCCTGTTCCAACCACCTCTGCCGTGCCAACGTATGGAGGTGGCTATGGCAGGAAGCGAACTCTTCAGCAAGTTTGCCGGACGACCACGACCACGATTTGGAAGACGAGCACGACAAAGGTTACGGAACTTGTCCCAGTTCCAACCACGATCGTACAAACGCAGAAGCAGACAATCCAGCTCCCTCCGTCCATCGAGACGCAACAGGTCACGCAGACGCGAGAGGTCACTGCCACTCGGATTCATACCTCCGTCTCGACCTTGATCTCCACTGTAGTTTCGACCGAGGTCATTCCAACGACCGTGATATCAAGCAAGACTCAATACGTGACCACCACTTACACGACGTTGAAGACCTACTATATCACGGACACCATCACAGAGACTCAGAAAAAGCCAACAACGATCATTGAGACCAAAGAGCGAACCGCAACAATCACTCAGCCTGTGACTCGGACGGCTACTCAGATTTCAACGACCACAATCATCTCGACCCTCGTGTATACGACAAGCATTCCGTACACTATTACCTCTGATCACACAATCACCAAGACTTCCTACTCTGTGTCAACTTTCACTAGTCTCGTGACCTACACTTCACCAGTGACCATTACTGCGTCTTACACGGAATTCCAAACAGCAACGGCAACGGCCACAAGAACCGCAACTGTCACGAATAAAGAGACAGAATACTTGACTTCTCTGACAACGGTCTTCGTCTCAACGACCCTCTTCGAAACTCTCACTCTTTCGACAAGTTATCCAGTGACTATTCCCATAACAGTCACCAACGACAGGACTATTCGAGAGACTTTTTACTCGACTGTCGTGGAGACTTCTGTGAGAACGATAGTTTCTTCCTATCCAATCACTCGAACGGTCACGCAAACCTCACCTCCGCAGACCGTCACTCAGCCTGGTTCAACTGTGACTCTTCCGCCAGTCACAACTACGACGACGATTTCTGGAGAGGCCGTCACGATTACCTTGCCTGCTTCTACCATCACAATTCCCGTAACCGCCACTATTACAGGACCCGGGGAGACGTTTACCTTGCCACCCGAAACGGTTGTCACTACGATTGCCGGTGAAATCACGACTCTCACCCTGCCAGCATCTACAATTACTCTGCCGGGAGTCACAGATGTCATCACCGTCACACCTCCTCCTGCAACCATCACGCTTCCCGGATCGACTGTGGTTTCGACAATTGCAGGCGAGCTAACGACAATCACCTTACCCGAAACCACATTGACTCTGGTCACTACTCAAGTGAACACGGTCACTCTGCCTCCCTCTGTGACGACTTTGCCTGGTTCAACGATTGTGACTACGGTCGTCGAGACTGCGCCTGCATCGACATTGACCATCACTCGCGACGGTTCGACAATAACCAGCATCGCGCCAGGGCCAACATCTTTCGTCGTTTCGACCTTAACGTTGCCTCCGGTCACCGTTACCTTGCCACCTTCAACGGTCACAGAGATCACGGCTTGCCCGGCCCCAACGAACACTCCCGGATCGAACTCGGCGGCCGAATACAACCCGAGGTCCAATCTGACATGGGGCTGTCAGCCCGGATATGTCTGCAACCCTCCCAAACCGGCCGGTTGTAGCCTGTGGGCAGATCCGCCAGCAGACGATTATGTCTGCGCTCCGCAGAACTGTATTCCAGCACCACCTGTCACTCTAGCAAATTGGAAGGAGAACGAGACAAGCTACTACCCAGTGAACGACGGATACTTCAACTTGAACCCCAATGCCTTTGGCCTTCCCTTTGACATCTTTGAGTACGAGGTAATCGTTTCTAAGGTGAAGGGTAAGAAGGGACACAAGAAGACGACCATTACGACTGGCAACTGGGCTTCAGCCACGGAGTTGACTCATTTCCCCCCGCCTGCTCAACCCACAATTACCCCTTCCCCTGTCCCTACATCCTCTGCTGAGATTGGCAAACATGCCTACAAGCATAAGCAGGAGGGCAAGACCTACGAGCGCCGTGCTTTCTTCGGCAAGCGAGATGTCACGATCGCTCCTGCCATCTGCTTCGACAATTGCAACAATGTATATATCGAGGTTCAGACCGTGGGCAAAAACCCTCAAATTTGCTTAGCGGGTTCCGCCTTCCAGATGAACCTCGAGACTTGCAGGCAATGCGTGATAGACAACGCCGATGACGGGAAGGAGACTCTGCGTCTTTACATAGAACCACAATTCCAGCAGTGGCTAGTATACTGCACCGGCGAGGCACCGCAGACTTCGTCTTCCGCAACTATCCTGCCACCCCAGAGCCAAGCAAGCGGTACAGCGACACTCACGACAGCAAGCCAAGGGGCCGGCTCTAGTGATACGTCGGCCGTCCCTATTCCGGGGTCAACCACAACCACTACTGCTGAGGTGTCTATCACGATTACATCTACTCCCACTCCCACGCCGTCTCCTAGCACGAGCGCGGCAGCGTCTTCTACACCCTCAACCGCCAGCACAGCAGAAAGCTCTCAGTCGCCATCCAGCTCTGGCCCTTCGGTGTCTCCCACGCCATCTGACACGACCTCCGCGGCGACGATTAGCCCCGGAACCACTGCCGTGACTTCCAGCCTTTCAACAGTGACATCTGCTGCTATTTCCACAGGTTCTACTTCTGCTGGAACTCCCTCTTCGACTGGAAGCGTCTCCTCGGGTTCTCCAAGCGCTTCGAGTGCCTCAGGTACTTCAAGTGCTTCGAGTTCCGCGAGCGGGTCGAGTGCTCCAGCAAGCGCCTCATCACCCTCCACGGCAACTTCATCTTCGGCATCATCAGCGCCATCCGGAACAGCGACAAGCGGTGCCGGCTCGAGTCCGTCGGCTTCAAGCTCCTCAGACTCCGCGTCTGCCGGTCCAACCACCTCAGCCGGATCAGCATCCACAGCAACTGGCGGCGCTGGAGGCTCTACATCCGAAACCTCGGCGCCATCCTCGACTGTGTCTTCTCCAAGCACCACTTCGACAGGCCCCGTCACAGCTGCAGCAGTCAAGCCTGCCACCTCCACCATCCTCGCCATACTGGCGCCATTCATGATTCTTCTACTCCTCTAATTCGTACTCGATCCTTCTGAACATTATATAAGATTCTTCTTCGTGGGTTTATACAATTGGCGGTAAAAGTTCATCATCCTATTCTGCACATTCCTTCCCAAGGTCCTGGACCAACATCATATTTGGCGTCTTATGAGAAAGGGACTTATGATTTGGCTTCTTGCCAACGAATTCACGACACTCCTTAAGATTAATGAGTAATTGGCATCATTTGGCGGGCATTACTTTTTGGGCAATCTTGCATAAATACTTGATGGAGGATATTTTTCTTTTGGTTATGATACCCTTACGCTCCTTTACGACGCGGCTTTGAGGGCTTTGAACCTTCACACAGGTACGATGAAAAGCTCGGCGCGGCTCGATGCGACTTGGAGGATAATGAATTTGGTGATTTGCAACTGTTAGAATTATGATTTAGGAGGGAACGTAATGAGTCGGGGCACTGAATGAGGCAAGGCGGCCTCCTCAATACCCGGATTGTGTTTGAGATATCCAATGCAATAATTTGTGCTTTCCTACTCGACGCATTTTGAAGCTCCTTGTAACGAGTCCTTTTATTTGTGAATCACGTGTGAAAGAGCCATGTGCTCCAACATTGGGAACCGTTGGTCGTGCCCATGTCTTGCTGGGCATGGACAATGTGGTGCCTTACGATGCGACCAACGATACTCGTTGTCTAACGTCCATGCATCTGCTGTCGCCTTCGACCTCATCCATATCTTTTCAAACACCGTGCCCTCGTACTCCAAAGTTTGACTTCGTGTTTAGGCAGAACTCATCCTATCTATATTTACATACATAAATCTAAACATATAAGCACTCGCTGACGCAGACTTTGAGCAACCCGGCCATCGACGGGCGAATGCTTCCCACAAACTCCAGACGACTCCGAAGCGCTCAACATAACATCATGAAAGTACTGTCCATAGCTTCCCTCCTCTTCGTCCTCATGTTCCTCTTCCCAAGTCTTGCGTCAGCCTGGGAGCTCACGTCTGTCCAGGTCCCACTCATCATCTCCTCATGGCTAGGCAGCAGCAATGCGACCCCGCGCGTTCCTCAATTCCTTCTCGACACGGGTCATCCGTGGCTCACCACCCACGCCCGGGAGATCTCCAGTCTTCAGGACGCGATATCATTTATTTGCAAACTCTCTACCGCCGAAGCTCAATCTAAAGATGGCGGCGGCGTTGCGGTTGGCGACAAGAGCGGGGAGCTGCGCGAACGCCTCGAGGTACCGGCAGACCTCTTCCACCGGCTCGAAATCAGAAACACCCGCGTCGGCGTGAGCCGCTACGGCTGGAAGAATGCCCGCGAAAGGCTCAATGAGATGAAGGCGTGCCCAAGAGCACTCGCCGAAGTTCACGAGTTGACGGTTAACGTATGGATCCATACGGGAATGGGGTGGCAGACCTTGGGCGATACCTGGGACACCCTCACCGCGGAATCGACGCTTCCCCCAAAGACCCTGCCGGCTCTATTTTGCGAGGTCATGGGGAAGATGAAGAATTTGAGTATGATCGAATGGATGGTTCGAGGCGTCGACGAGAATGCGGCCATCGGAAAGGCCTTCATCGAGGACCGGACGCGCTTGCCTGGTGTGAAACATCTCGTGTCGACCATGAATGCGCCTTGGCTTGTTGACGCTTGCCCTTCGCTGACCTCTCTCGAAGTGAAACGCGATGATTTCGTCTGGGGAGAAGCTGCGCACACGAGGGATGTGGCCTGGTTCGCTGCCGCGGGCAGACTCAAAGACCTGAGAAAGCTTGATATGGGAGACGTCGAGTGGACGGGCACGATGACCGATCGTAAGTATTTTGGGGCGGGAGCTTCCATATCAATTTCGATTCGCTAATCTGTAGCGTGATAGGCGTACTTCAAGATACCCCTCACATTGGAGAGCTCCATGTAGGTGCTCCAGCCTGGGACCTCAAATATAGATCCATGAACCGGGGAGACTTGCTGCGGGTAGGTGAACCTCCTTCGTCTTCCGTCCATCCTTCATCCCTCGAGGATTGATTCTCCCACGTCGTGCTGATCAAATGACATATTGCGTACCAAGGATCTTGTGAAATCCCTCTCTCTTCTTCCCGACCTCACGCAGCTTCACCTCCCGCAGTCCTTTCAACTGAATCTCGGCTACGACGGGGGATCGATGTGCGGAAACGCATACATGGGCGAAAACGGTGCCGATTATCGGCGCAGCGACATGGCTCAAGGCCTTAAGGCAACGGAATCGGCTGGGAAGATAGTCCGGCAGGAGTTTCCGGGGTTGAATGGGGTCCACGTCGGTGCGTTCTACGGGGACTTCATGACAGATGTTGAGGGAGAGCAGGTAATTGTCTGGGATTGGACTGGAAGGGTGGACGAGTGGTTGGACGAGAAGCAGATGGCTATCAATTTCGACGATGAGCCTTGATCCAGGTCATGCAGGGGCGATCACAACCCAACCGACGGAGCTTGTGACTCACGGTACATACAGCCGTGTCTTCTCTATTGAAATTGTAAACGGCATGTCGAAACTCAACACATCATCACTACACGACTAATCGTCAACTTCCCCTGCGCTTGTCATCTCGTTCAGATCGTCCAGCTTTTGTAAAGCTTACTATTCCATCCCGCGGAAAAGCACGATTCGCCACCAGTAGGGCCTTTCTTGTCCTATACACTGAAGAGCAAAGTATGTCTTTACGAAGAAGGGAAACGGCGACACATGATCAGAAGTGAACAGTCTCCAATCTGGCGGCTTCTTGCTGCTCACACTAAGATTTCTTAACTATGAAATGGGCACTCTCCAGAACGATTTGGTGGGATTTTGAAACCTCAAATCCTCATTTCATTGCTTTGTAAACTATATAATAATGCTAAAACTTGGGGGTACCTGCGAGATCCCTTGTTCTCTCCCAGTCCATATCGTGGCGCGGGGACTCGTCCAAATCATGTGCGGATGGTTTCGATCCCATGCCAAAGGGGGATGACTTCGAATAAGATGACGGCTTTTGTCCGTAGTTGACAGCCTGGTGTGATAAATGTGAGCAATTATGATGACAAAAGAGATGAGATGCCGGGATTGAGTGGGTGATGCTTACCATGCGAATAGTCTACCGGTAGGACAATCGTAGATCACTCATCATTCTGCTGCGGAAAAGCTATCTTGGTCCGGTTCATGAACAGGATCATCCAAGATCACGATGGGGTTGGATCTGGATCCATCGTCACCAGGATCGTCTTCGAGCTCAATGGGCTTGGAAATTGAACCATCATATTCAGGATCGGCTTCGATGACGATTGGGCTGTCTTTGCAACCATCTGGACCAGACACGTCATCCAAAATGATCGGACGAGACCAAGAACCGAGCAGAGGCCCTTTTCGAAGTAGTCGCTTGACAGGTGGTTTGGCAGGCCGAACCGCAATCCTGTGTTTGATGCTTCTCGGAGCAATATCCTCTGATGTGGAGTCAGTGACGGATAGGAGACCACCAGAAGTTGGGAGACTTGCGTTTGATAGGAGCCATCTTTGTCAGGAGAAGCCCTGGGAATCCGTGGAGAGATTTGGGGGACCGAGAAGGAGACCTTCGTCCAGAGAGGAGGTTGAAAGAGAAACGAAAGATGATCTTCGTCCGGAGACGAGGTGAGAAATGAAGCGAAAAAGTGATCTTCATCCAGAGAAGAATTGGGATGAGAAGCAAAGGAGGATTTCCGTCCGGGGGAAGATGTGAGAGAAGAAGCGAGAGAATTCCACAGAAGACGTGGAATGAGGTGGCGAGCGGGGAGAAGGTCATCTGCTTGCCCTTTGGCAACTGCTTGAAGTCAGAATGGGAAAGAAGAAGGCAATTTCCGTGGTTGGATCCTTACCGAATGGATGGTGTTATCTGGGACGTACTCATGTACTCTGCCAAAACAGCAGGCACAGGCAGGGAACCCATGGTACGTAGACATCTGGACAGCAGACTTGGGAAAGAGCAAGAAACTCAGGATCCAGCTGAGTTACCAAGGGAAGAATTCTTAGGGAAGGTAGGTACTGTGGTAAATGATGATGAGTACGCTTGTTATCGACGAGAAAGATTCAGTTGTACTCACATTAGGTAGGTAGTTTCATAGGTAAGAGGTCTCATTCGTGCCAGGTTGCCTAGCCCCTCTGTCTACGGCGGAAGAGCGCGTCGCGTGGCATAGGTCCTATCAGGTAGTTCAGATGGGTGGGAAGGGGAAAAGTTCGAGTATGCTCGATTGGGGGGTGCCCAGGATTGACGGTCCTACTCGACAGGCGGAATGATCAATGTTGCTCTGCTGGAAATAGACTGCGTTGAGAAGCTTCGAGGGACATTTGAAGACGTGTCAATGACTCCGATGTATCGAAAGGGAATATTCCATAGTCAATCGTGAATTGAAATTTGAAATTTTGGAATTTAATGCCTTGAGAGGCTAGGCCTCCTGGCGACGAAGTGAGATGATGAATGGGGGGGAAAAAAAAGGAAGGATGAGAGAATCCAGAGGTCGGCTCAAGGAAAGAGATATCAAGCCGGAGAGGCCTGGAAAAGAGTGGGACCGAGCTCCTACCTTGGAGGCAGGTACGAGGGCGCGTTCTTCCGATCTGCCTGAGAATTGATCCGAAAGGCGTAAGGTCCAGTATCTACGGGAAGGAGGGAGCACGGAGGTGGGATCTGAAGTGAGGAAGTGAGGAAGGCGCGAGCATCTCAGGGAGGAACGAAGGAAGGAGGCAGTCACCGGGTTCGAACCTCGGGCTGTTCAAGCAGGCCCTTACAGCATCCCAGAAGATTATTTGGACGACCTCGACGGTGAGATTCAGACTGTTGGCGATTTGATGAGGTCAGACAAGATGGACCAGATAGTCAGGCCTCATACTCATCCATGAATCCAAGTGGCCTTCACAAGGTAGGCTAAGGTTGCCACCACCACCACCAACCAACCAACCAGCCAACCAACCAGCCAACCACCACCGAGAAACAGAAAATGGGATAGAAATCCATTGGAGAAGTGCATGTATACCATGTTCATTGATCATCTGTTCGCTTCTTCACTTCGTAAAGTACATTATTATCCCATGCAATCACGACTCGCTAGCCTTCCGCTGCTTCTCCCGAACCGAATTGATGGACGAGCTGATGCTAGCCTTGGACGAAGAGTGCCTCAACGACCTCTCCGCCACAGACTCGGCACCAGAGCCGCTATCCCCACGGCTGATACTTCCCTCCCTCGCCAACGGCGACGAGATATCAGGCGTGACAGACCTCGACTCAATGTTGGGACGCTTCGCCTTGGTCAACGTCTTCTTCCTCCGCTTCTCCGATGCATTGGACCCGGTGCTGGCCTTCCTACTAACAGTACCATCTCCATCGTCGCTCGTCGCGGCCACGGACGGCGCAAGGCTTCGGCTCGAGCTCGTCGAGCTGCGGCGGTGCGCGCTGGTAGTGCTACTACGGCGTCTATGCTCGCGCTCGATGGCGGCGGCGCGGGGGTGCATCGTCGTCTTCTCGGGCGACTGCTGGCGCGCGGGCGGCGGGCCGGCCTTGTCGATGCGGTGCCACGGCAGCCACCAGAACATGCCCCACCGCTGCTTGGCCACCTGGCGGTCGCGTGCTGCGAGCTTCTTCTGGATGAGGGCGCGGCGCTCGTTCTCCTTCTCCCAGTATTCGGTGCGATAGATTTCCCAATTTTCTCTAAATGTAGGCGTGAACGGCTTCGCGAGCAGGAGTAGCTTGACGTAGTCTCCGCCTGGGGCGAGATCCTCCTCGTGGCCTCCTTTTTCTTCGTCTTCGAGCAGGACTGGCAGCGTTGGGTGGCTGTCCGCGGTGAGGCTCAGCTCCTTTTCGACTTCGCGCAGGATGGATGGTTCGACGTAGCGGTAGGACGAGCTGGCGGTGTGGGAGAAGAGTCCGTAGGTCAGGAAGAAGCCAATGGTGGAGAGAAACTCGGCCCACCAAGGTCTTCGGATAATGACCAGCTTAGAATTGAAACCTCGAAGGCCTCTGTTGGAGATGGCGAACCAACGGCGTGGCCACCTGATTCCTCGCTCCCATATTCCTGTAGCCCATACCAGTATCGCGGTCATGACACCTCCCATGAAGCAAATCTTCTCGAATGTTTCGACACCCCAGTACACAGAGCCACCAACTCCACGTCCATCCTCGCGCGGGGCGAAGAAGAGAGCATAACCGAAACCGCTGATCCATGCGGTCAGCAACGTGAAGAAGAATGTGTGATGACGGCGGCGGGCGCGAAGCTCGAGATACTGCGCGCGGAGGGAGGCTTCGAGGATGAGAAGGTTCAGGTAGATCATGGACGGGGAGCTCGGGGTATGGATCAACGGGTCGCCTTGCTTGCCAGAGTCGGGGACGACGCCGGTGGTGCCGACGGCGGCCTTGGGCTCTTTGCCCGGCGGCGGGGCGCCCTTGACCAGCGAGTCAAGCTCGTCGGCCATGGTCGCGGTAGGGAAACCTGTCGTCGCTCGGAGGGGATTTCAAGCTTTTCGGTGGTGGTGCTGCGGCGGTCAGGTCGCTTTGGGACGGAGAATCAAGAATTGGAGGGGCCTCGGCAGCCGCAGTCAGCAGCGGTCTGCAGACATGCGCGGTGGTCGGGGGGCGGGGGACGATGATGCGAAGCTGCAGGTGGACGGAGCGCAGGTGTGCAGAAAGGGGTGAGCAACAAGCAAAATAAAGCTGCTTTAGCTGCACTGCTCTTTGGAGGTGAGAGCTTCCTGCGTGTGTGCGTTCTGCTGGTGTTCGAGAAGCAAGGGCGGAACTGGAATCTGTCGGTGGTCAGATGTCAATCCAGGCCGGCCGGGTATGATTCAGCTGGCGGGTTGGGGGTGGAAATTCCGCTCCGCCTGGCGGCAGGTGTGGACAGTGGGACGTCATAGGAAAAAGAGGCGGGGTGGCCCGAGCGTGGGGTGTCGGAACCAGCGCGATAAACGATTGCGATTACGATAAGGCTTGTTGGGGACGGAGCTGAGTGCCTTACCTTACCTTACCTTGGTGAGAGCTTGACACGTGCAAATCGGTTGAAGATTTGACGATGGACAGGGCTTGATTTAATATGCGCAAGCGACTTGAAAAGCCAAGGCTAGTGAGCTGCTCAGGGATATGCAGGGCCCCTATTGAGTACAACGGGCAATGGAGTACAAGGTTGCTCAGCTCTGGCTTGTCAGCAAAATGCTCATTTCCACCGCTTTCCCACACAATTTGTAGAGACCCTGAGTGCATATTGATGCCCCATTGTGTGGGAGACACTGCACTGAGAAAAGATGTTTCCACGTCCATGCTTTTATTTTGAGCCTTAGAGTTGAAACATTTTCGACGAGCTAGAGAAGGAAGTTTCGTCTCTTCTTCAACTGAACTGAATTACGTTCTTCATGCAGGTCTCATGCAAATATTGATAGCATACACCGGACAGATGCTGGGTACGGAGTACAGGTGTATGGTCATGATCCGCCCACGATTCCCCAGCCACGATGCTGTCTCAATTGACAGCCCCATTCAGATTGTTGCCTACATCGAGTAAGCGTCTCTATGATTGCGTAAGGTCCTGGAGGGAAATTGCACCGTCAGCTCCAGGCTTCAGCCCTGAATGCATCATCTGACTAGGCCATCTACGAATTTCTCCAATGTACTTGTTAGTAGTCAGCAACCAAGCCACATGTCTACCGGGAAATCGGAGGCTTGTTTTGTCTCTTACCGCCGACACGGCTCAATGCAACAGCTGCCCCCACTCTTCTACCCGCCAAACTCCGAGTGCTAAGTCCATGAACCGATCCGCATCCCGCTTCTGGGGGGGCACGTTGATTTCCCCTTGGTGCTAAGTTCTTTCTCATGTTCCTCACACAATGACCCCTGCCTGCTTACGCCCCTGTCGCTCAACTGCTCAACAAGCTTGTCGGTTTTTTACGGAGCCGTTGACATTCCGGCCGGGGCACCTGGCTTGTCTCTCATCGAACCCTCCCACCTTTTTGCCCACCGTCATCTTTTGTCCACCCCTCTGCCACATCTCCGCGTCACCACTGCCCTGCACAACGGTGTCTCCGTCCTTCTTTTGTTACTGCACCTGCCTAGAACTTGGGAGGATTGCTAACCCGGCGTTAACTGCATCTATCTATCCCGCTCCGTATAGACTGCAGCCCCCCCCCGTCCGCATTCTTTGCTGACTGATGAGTCGTCGCAAGTTTCAGAACATCCGCGCTCCGGACACACACCTCCGCCGCCCGCGGCCACACTGAACTGACGCCTTACGCTACCCGTACTTTATTTTGCGACTTTTGTATATAGACGGTTGGCCCCCGTCGCCACCACCCACAGCAACACCCGGCATGATACACCAACAAACTGCTTCTTCTTTAGTGAACGGGTCGCGACTCAAACTTGCTTCCTCACTAATTACGTCGTCCTCTGCAACTGTCAAATCTCCCGCACCCAGCATACGGGCCTCTACTGAAGACTCCGTCCCTCGCCGATCCCACCAAACCATGGCTGCCGCCGCTGCACCCCCCGCCGCTCCTAATGCGACGACTCGTCCCCCGGGAACCTACTTTCCTTTGGGATACAAAGATGCCGTCTATCAATGGGTAAGCAATTCGAGAAAGTCCTCTAGATCGCGGGGTAACGTTGCTAACAAGAAGTCCGCAGTGGACAAGTGTAACTCCGCAAATGGCCGAACGCAACGTCCTGTCACACATTCCTTACCTCAAAGAAGCCCGCGAAAACGCCTCCCTCGACTCGACCAAGCCCGACCCCTTTGGCCAGCGCGTATGGAAGTCCCAAATGGTCGAGCTCTCTGGCAAGAACCGCGCCCTCAACGAATACTCCATCGAGCGCGTCGGCGAGGAGGTCGACAACAACCTCGTCATCGTCCACGGCTACGGCGCCGGCCTCGGCTTCTTCTACAAGAACTTTGAGCCCCTCTCCCGCCCGAAAGGATGGAAGCTCTACGCCCTCGACATGCTCGGCATGGGCAACTCCACGAGGCCACCGTTCAAGGTCACCGCCAAGGATCAGGAGGGCAAGACCCGCGAGGCCGAGGCCTGGTTCATCGACGCCCTCGAGGAGTGGCGCAAGAAGCGCAACATTGACAAGTTCACCCTCGTCGGTCACTCCCTCGGCGGATACCTCTCCATCGCCTACGCGCTCAAGTACCCGGGCCACCTCAAGAAGCTCATCCTCGCCTCGCCCGTGGGAATCCCCGAGGACCCTTACGCAGTCAACGCAGCCATGCCCGAGCCCGAAGAATCGACTCTTCAAAACGAATTTACACAAGACCAAAACGAGGTCACCAGCAACGGCTCCAACACAACCCCGTCACGAAACGCCAAACCTAACGCACCCAAGCGCCCACTCCCAGGCTGGCTCGTCTGGCTCTGGGACGCAAACGTCTCCCCCTTCAGCATCGTCCGCTTCACCGGCCCGCTCGGTCCCCGCTTCGTCTCCGGCTGGACCTCCCGCCGCTTTAACCACCTGCCCCAAGAAGAGTCCCAGGCGCTGCACGACTACGCCTTCTCCATCTTCCGCCAGCGCGGCAGCGGCGAGTACGCCCTGCCTTACATTCTCGCCCCCGGCGCCTTCGCCCGCAGCCCCATGGTCAACAGGATAGACGGCGTCGGCCGCCAGGTCATTGAGAAGAGCACGGGCGAGAAGCTCAGGGAGACGGGCGTCCCCATCGTCATGATGTACGGCGAGAACGACTGGATGGACAAGAAGGGTGGCGTCGCGGCGGCCGAGAAGCTGAAGCAGGCTAGGTTGCAGGCGCTGCTCAACGGCACGGAGGAAGAGAAGAGGAGGGAGAACGGCTCGGCAAAGGTTATTGAGGTTTCCAAGGCGGGTCACCACCTTTACCTCGACAACGCTGAAGAGTTTAATGACTACATCCTCAAAGAGATGGAGGATGTCCAGAAGAGCAAGCTATAGAAATTGGCTCGCGGACATTTCGAGAGGGGAGTGATTGGTGAAAATATGGGCAAGCTTCACAGCCTTGCCAGCCAGAGAAGCATGTTTTTTGAGGCGTTTTTCGGGGGTTGCATTGCATGACAACAGATCGAGCCTGTATACGGCCGACGGGAATATCCAGTGGGAGCGTTTGGCTTGGCATAATAGAGTCTGTTCAACCGGCTTATCTAGATGAAGAATACAATTACAGGACAATTCATTCAAACACAGCTTCTAATCTCCATTGTGAATCACATACGCCTTTGAGACTCGCGGGATCCGAGTGACATTTCTTTGTCTGGACGCATCCCAAAGAGAGACCGGGACCGGCTCCCGCACTTGATCAGCCCCACGTACACCGGTCGATGTCAACTACCTATAGAGGGAAGAATATGACGAACAAGCTCACTTATTTTGTAGGAAACATGGATCAATCCTGAGGGCGAGCATCGCAACCTATTTCCAACTGTTGCTCATGTTCATACTAGCATGTCTTTGACATGCTCAAGGCTCACAACTTCTAACACATGATATAAGTCTCGATTTCCTCGAGCAACCTACTCCTATCCTCGAAGTTGTCATGCTATCTTTTATGGAATGAAACATATAGCGGCATCTTCGACAACCTCTCCCAAGTTACACGTGATCCAACACTGCCGAACTGTCGTAATGAGTCTCAAAACCTCCCCCTGTTTCTCACGATCGTCGTGCCGACCTCGTGATCCGCCCCGTCGTCTCAACTTCTCAACTCACGTGTTGACCTAGGCGAGCGAGGCCGAGAATCACTTTTCGAATTATTCGATAGCTGCGTGACCGTTCATCTAATATTGTTTGCTCGCTTAAGGGCGTCAAATGAGCGGCCTCTGAATAGGCGGTCGAACGACCGAACAACCGCCCTCCCCCCTTTTCCATATAAAATTCCCCCATTCACCCACCCGTCAAGATACTCTCACTCTTGTTTTCCTGGCCATCATTTTCTTCACTCAAAACACTCTTACCAATTTCATCAAAGGTTCGTTCTCGTTATCCACTCACGCCAGTCAAGCCAGTATCTGGGATACTCCTTGACTAGCAAACACCCTTCACTTCTCCCTTCGCGGCATCGTGACTCTACGTCGTCCAGAGCAAACATCACAACCAGTCATCAGCCTCTCAGCCTTGCTTCTCACAACTTCGCCAAAAATCGAAGCCTTCATAGCTCCCACGATCCGTCGCAGAACACTACTCAACAACTTCATCATGTCCGGCCCCTACAGCCAGTTCCTGGATCTCGACAACACCCGGGATCCATACGCCTTCGAGGATCCAGACATCTTTCAGGACCCAATCCTCAACGACATGTCTCTGTTCGGCCCGGACGAGTTCCAGCAGCCATATAACTCTCCTCAGTCGCAGTACCAGTCGCCATACAACCCCCCTCAGTCACAGTATCAGTCGCCATACACCAACAACTTCCAGCCGTCGAACTACCAGTCTCCATACAACAACAACCCTTTCCAGCAACCCATGAGCAACAACGCCTACATCCAACCTCCCCCTCTTCCTCCTCCTCAACAGACGCTCACCGAGACCGCAGAACCCCCCTCCAAACGTCTCCGATCTCGTCATCCAAAGCCCATCCAAATCTCCCCTCGCTCAACAACACCCGACGGTGAACCCCCCTACCACCTTATCCTCTTCTCCCCCCACAACCTCCCAGGCACAGTCTCCTCCCTCCTGACAGCCCACCTTCAAGTACCCCTCTACACAACCCTCGAAGAGCGAACCCGCCGCGAGAACGAAATCAAGCACCTCTTCTCCGTCGACACAAACACAACCCTCCCCCCTCCCTCGCCGCGCGTGAAGAACCACTCAGACCTCACCGACAACTCATCCTCCAAAATCTACAAAATCCGCGCCGCCCCCTCCGCACCAGAAATTACCTCCCTGCCCCCTCAACTCGACCTCGGCAAATTCATCAAAATCGACGACTCCCTCGGTCCCAAAGACGATCCCAGGCGCATACAGGCAATGGACTACAACAACCACCTGGCAGCCTTACGCCTCCGCAACCTCAAGAACCGCAACAACGTCGCCGCGATGCGCAGCCGGAACCGGCGTGACAGGGCAGCGGTGCTCCGCGCCGAGGAGGCGAGTCTCGCGAAGGCAGAGTGTCGGTACTGGAAGGCGAGAGCGATTGCCGCAGGCGCGGATCCCAGGGGTTGGGAGTATTTGCCGGACGTGGCTAAGGAGGCTGTCGCTGCGGATTATCGGATTGATGCGCTGGATTTCTTTCAGGATGTGGGCGAGGTGGCGCCTGCGACGCCCAAGAAGGTCCTGAAGAGGAAGCGTTGAAGAGGGAGAGTCGGAGACGAGAGAGTCGGAGAAGAGAGAACCGAAGAAGAGAGAGTTGTCCTGAGAGAGAGGATTGGGATGTCGCTTCGGCCGGTGCTGTTGGATTATGAATGGACGAGGAGCGGGGTTGCGTGGTTTGGCTTTTCTTGAGAGGACTCTTTGTCGTTGCTTTGCTCTCTTTTTGCGAGTTTTGCATAAGCAAGGAGACTATCCTTCCCGGGGCCTTTTGACAGAGTATTGTATCTGCAGATACCGCAGGAGTTTGATACCCAGTTCTAGGCGTTCACCTGTTTGTTCCTTACTTAGCTCTCCACTCAATACTATAACCCCAAATGAATGAGCTCCACCTTGCAGTGAAACCTAGAATATTCTTAACTTGAACAAATCCGTCTCACTTGTTTACCTTCTTTGGCAGGGGTGGTCGATTACACGGCTGGCTGCATTGAATGAGCGTCACGTAAGGGACCAGAGCACCGTGAGGTTTTGTTGCTTTAGGCTCTGTGGCAGCGTAAGAGTTAGCTTTCAATGTTTGATAGGCATATATGAAAAACCTTCCTGTGTCTCGTGATGGAGTCGAGGACAAGATGGGAAGGAGCCCAGGCATAGGTATCAAAGGTAGGAGACACGTGTGGAAGAAGAATCCCAGGTGTAGACTCGCAATTGTAGGAGTTCACTCAAAATAAAATTAGCTACTAATTATAGCTTGTGGTATCTCTCATCAAACCGTTCAAAACCCAGATCATGACTCTCACTCCAAAACCCGTCTGAGAAGAACTCGGCCGCGTCGTTATTTCCATCTACATCAAAGAACTCCGTTCATTACCAAGTCCGGGTTCAGCTCAAAGATTATCAATGAATTCTCCCCTTTTCAAAACTGTTCAAACCGAAAACTGTTATCCTATCACGTAACACTGGCAGTCCGCCAATATCACGCCTCGTTGACAGACGGCTGAGACCGCGACTTGCTCTCGGCCTTGATACTCCCCATCTCCGACCCATGGCCCGTCGAGACACCATAGCAATCCGGGTCAGAAAGACATCCCTTGATGTAGTAAAACAGCACAATCGTCATCAGGACCCTGACGCACATCTCGTTAGCAACCGCATCACAATCCGCAACCGAGAACAAGGAATGAAAGAAACATACCAGTTCACTGCACCGACGGCAGCAGCACCAGCCATACTACCCCCATACCGCTTCTCCTCCGTAGTCGGCCCAAAACACGTCCCCTGCACACACGTATCACGCAGGAACAACGCCGCGATGCTCGCAGACCACGCCCAGCCCGACAGCCAGAACAGGCAGTTCGTGCCATAGCCGACGAGGACGGCGATGCGGAAGTAGAGGTGCGCCGCGAAGCGCTCGAGGATCATGGCGCCGCCTAGTACGAGGAGAGTGAAGAGAGACTGATCACGACGATTGCGGTTAGTAAAGTGATCTACCTGGCTGATAATTGGGATCGAAGGTTGTTGATTCAGGGTGCGGGAGAGGGGATCGAGAAGTATAAGACATACGACAAAGAGCATGAAGCCCGGCGGCCCGGTATAGCTGCTCGAGTAGGCGCCCAGTAGCGACAGGCAGTACGCGCAGGCAGCGAGGACGGCGAGCGAGAGGACGAGGACGGCGACGCGGACGATGGAGAAGAGGGATGGTGTTGGCGGGGCGCCTTTGCCCATGAGGCCTCTGATGTTGTTTGCGCCCGTCATTTTTTGGTTTCGATTTCTTGGTGCCGTCTTCCTGATTTTCCAATTTCCTTCTTGCTAGACAAGTGACCCGGTGCGTTGGTTGCGTGATTATTCAAATGTTTCGTGAAAGCTTCACTTTTGCGGCGCTTTAGTAGGTATAGGTGTGGGTAGGTATTAAACAGTCAGAACGTCGAAGCCAGCAAAAATAGACACAAGCGAATGTGAATGGACGTAAACAGAATACGCACCACACAGTCAATGAAAAGCCAAATCAACTATCTGCGCGCACGATGGGGGGACGTCCGTTTCCTTATACCTCCTCTCTCCAGCAAGCCCACGTAATAAAGGAGGTGTTCACACTGCCTCCTTCAAACACGCCCAGTCCGTGGTCTTGCATGACAACGGTCCCAACCATATGAGATTTGATCCAAGATCCAGCCAAAACTGCAAGGCCTGCGCCACAAAAATAAAGAGACCACAGAGAGACACCCAGCGCAATAACAACTCCTGGAGAAATCTGACCTAAGAGCAGGGAAAGTCTGATCACAGTCGGCTGAACGACGCTCGGTCGCGGTCTTCGACCACCACCACACTGGCACACCTGTGGGTAGAGGACCAGAATGACGGATGATCGACAGATAGAAAACGCACTTAAAAAAGGGATGCATCGATGCATAAACCACCTTCATTCCCAACATGCAGGGGCCTTTTCTATCTCTACAGCATGTAATTGGCTGACACGGCTGGTTCCTGATTTATGCTCCTTTCGTCACCCCAGTCATCGCGGCAGTGCAAAAGCCCAGACACCACCAAAAAGCACACGCTCGTCGATCACTGAGCTGGGATGAGAGCCGGGTGCCGGCAGGAGCGATCCAGTGGGGAAGGGGGAACCGGCTGGGATGGAATCCCATTGTCCTCCCCCTCCTACATGTAGGTACTACCCTCTTCAGAGGCGGCGAGAACGATTGGAGGTGAAGAGGTTTACCAGGCCTACACGAGTTTCAGGTACTTACTATCCAGGGTTCCTCGTCGCGGTCTTCAATGCAAAAAGACCCAGTAACCCCTATTCTGAGCAACTCCTCATAACCCAGCAAGAGATCCAACAGAAAGAGAACATGGTCTTTATTCGGCCCATGTGTGAAATGTTTCTCCTGTCAACTTACTGTCAGTCCCCAAAGAAAGCGAAGGAAAACAGAAAACATCTTCACATCAGACGAACCTCCCCCCTCTAAAAGAACCATACGGTCAGGTCTCGGGTGGGACAGAGACGGAAACAAGAAACGCAGAGGAACGCGGGTAAAACGCTGAAACGAAAACCAGGACGCGCAAGCTGAGGATGCACCGCTGTCTTTGCTGAACAGCATTTCGTCGCATTCTTTCATTCCTTTCTTTGATTCTACACGTATCGTTCAAAGATAAGCAACCACCAACGCGTCAAACAACAGACGCTGCACGTCTAAGCCCGCCTCCTGCCTTACCGCCGTGCCGCCCAACATCATCTGAAAACCTGCGACGGCTCAGCCCTTGGTCAGAGACCTCCTCAAATGTCCCAGCGCCAACCACATTCCCCAGTCACAGTCGCGACGAGCCGTACTCAAGTAAAACCTAAAATCCCACTCTCAGAAAATCATGACCAAATTCATAACCATCATCTTTGTTACCACTATTGTCCTTGGCAAACGGGAGTTCCATCTCTCCTTTCTAGGTACTCCCTCGTGCATGCCTGTCCAATCGCTCGTTCTCCGTGATGTGACTGCTGCACCCCCACCTCACCAGTTCGTCCCACTTCATCAGACTGGCCATGTAGTGAAACCAGGATCATGTTGCATTCCGGGCATCCTGATCGCCGCTTTTCGCCCGAACAGGTGGGAAAAGAGTGTTTAGTGAGATAAAGACAACCTGATAAGCATGTACAAGGCGGGGCAGACCTTTTGGCTGCTCCTCCCAAAAAGTCAGGCTGGCCGAGGGGGATTTCATGTCAAATGCTGCAACTGGCATCAAGTCACATTTGACATCAAGTGACACACGAGATTCAAATGGTCGATACAGATTCTATTGTGGCATCGAGGAAATAGCTTCTATCGTTGTTGCGCCGTTCCCAACTCGTGCATTAACTCGTCAATTCATCCGACGATGATGATCATGCGACTACACTCCTCCCAAAGTGTACCCGCAGTCTATACTCCCAGGCTTGTATGATGTCAAAATCGACCAAAGTGAACAAGCAAGATCCCATGCCTGCCTATATCCCATGAACTAGAAATGCATTGTACAGTCTACCCGCTTTTTAAAAGTTTGCGACAGCCACCGCAATCGCTTGCGTCTCAGAGTGTGAGATGGAGACGCTGATGTCTGAAAGGCCAACCTTCTTGGCAGCGGCAGCAGCTTCGCCGTGGAGCTATCATCAAATTAGTAAACAGTTTCAAGAGGCTACTGTGTGGTGAGTGAAGCTTACCTTGACAGTGGGGGCGCCAGACTCGTCCTTGGCAATCTCAATATCCTTCAGCGGCGCACCCGCACCCTTGCTAGACACGCCAAGAGACTTGAAGACGGCCTCCTTTGCGCTCCACCGGCCAGCGAACGAGCTCTGGGGGCTGGGCGCGGACTGGCAGTACTTGATCTCACCGGCAGTGAAGTTGCGCTCAATGAACGTCTCGTTCTCAATGTTGATGGCGGAGATGTCCTCAACGTCAACACCAACGTTGCTGTTCTTGTTGGCGACCTTCTTGGCCAGACCCTCCATCATGTCCTGGGTGGCCTTGGCTGCCGTGGAGGTGACAGTCTTCTCAGACGCCTTCATGAAGTTGGAGGGGTAAGAGATGGTGGAGGTCTTCTTGTCCTCGGTAACGCGAGCGTCGGGGTTCAGGAGAACCTTGCTGAGCTGCTCGTCGGTGTAAGGAGCGTTGGACTTAGGCACGAAGAGCGTGTTGTTGACCAGGCCCTTGTGGAAGAAGCTGTAAGCCTTCTTTTGGCGAGCGTTGACCTTGGCAGAGTACTCCTCGTACGTCTTCTCGTCAAGGGTAGCGAAGAGGTACTTGGGGTGGACACCGATAGCCTGGGCACCCTTCTGACCGAAACCGAAAGAGGTGACGGAGAAGGCCTTGATACCATCGGTCTGGATGGTGCGGCTGGGGTAGACAATCATGTCGAACTGCTCCATGATGGGGTCGACGTTGTCGGCGTTGCGGTTGCCGGGGACCAAACCGGTGTTGAGCACTTGCAAGCAGCCATTCATCATCCAGGCACCAGCGGCACCCTTGGGGTGACCAGTAAGGTACTTCTGGAAGATACCCATGACGGCGTTACCCTTCTTGCGGCCAAGGTGGCGGAGCTGCTGGCAGATAACGGAAGACTCGTTCTTGTCGTTGGCCTTGGTGGAGGTTCCGTGGAAAGAGGCAACCTCGAGGTCGTCGATAGTGAGACCCCAGGTAGCGAGGGCACCACGGAGAGGAGCAATCTCCGGGTTGTTCTTCCAGAAGTTGTTGCCGAGGCTGCGGAGAACATCCTTCTCCTGGCGCTCGGCCTCCCTCTTGATGTGCTCGGCACGGTCGTGAGCGTACTCCTTCTCGTTGACCTCCTGGCCCTGAGCCTTGATGGCCTCGACCTCATCGTAGAGGTACTCGAGCTCAGACTCCTGCCACTGCTTGATCTGCTTCTTGCGAAGCTCGATCTGGCGGCGACGGTAGTTGATGTCGAGCAGGGGCGAGGGGAATTTGCCGGCATGCTCGCGGGCAGTGGTCAAGACACCCTGGCCAGGAGCGGGAACGGATCGGCCAATCTTGTCGGTAGCAGTGGTAGTCAAGGCCAGAATACCGTGGATGGGCATGCCCATGTCAAGGGCAAGCTTGGCGGTCATGATAAGCTGGACACCGCAACCCTGGGACTCCATGAATCCGTTACGGGTGGTGGTGGTGGGACGCGACATCTCGGCGGGGGTACGGCCGTGGGCAAGCTCATCGACGGCGTTGCTGGTGGCCTTCATGTTGGCGAACTCGTACGAGCCCTCCTCACCGAAGTCATCGAAACCACCGACGAAGACGATGCGAGCCTTGCCCTCCATGATGGTCTCGTAACCAATGTCGACGGACTCGACAGCGGTGGCGCAAGCACCGACAGGGGTCTTGATGGGACCGGAGGAAGAGATCAACAACATGTTAACCCAGGCGGCCATGGTGTTGATGAAGGACTCCTGGAGAATGTCGTTCTGGACAGGCTTGTCGAGGTAGCGGTCTCTGTGCATGCCACGGAGGGCGCCAGCACCTCCCATACCGGATCCGATACAGTTGCCCACCTCGGAGACGTGGACGTACTTGTAGAACTCGTAGGGGTCGGTGATACCGGCCGACAGCAAAGTCTCGGCAACGGAAACAAGGACGAAGAGGGTGACGGGGTCGACCTGGGAGACAATGTCCTCCGGGACACCGTATCTCTTTGCGTCCCAGCCAGTGGGGATCTGGCCAGCGACGAGTCTGTCGAAACGGAGAGCCTTGGGGATCAAAAGAGCAGCTCCCTTCTTCATGCGCACAATGTACTCGCCAGACTCGGGGATCTCAAAGATCTCGACCTTGTCGCCGTGCTCACGCTTGAACTCTTCAGCAGTCTCCTTGGAGGCCTCGAAGGGCTCGAGGTCCTCCTCGATGACAACCTCGTGAAGAAGCTGCTTCTGCTCGGGGTCGTAGCCGCCGAAGAGCTCAGGCTCAATGAGACGGATACCCGAGTGCTCGAGGATGTACTTCTCGTACTTCTGCTTGATATCCTTGTCATCGACGGGCTCGCCAGTCTTGGCATCAACCCAGCCGGAGTAAGGAGCAGGCTTGCCCTTGATGGGGCCGTTGTGGTTCTTGATCAGACCCATGATCCAGGCCATCTCAACGCAACCCTCGAGAGAGAACTCGCCGTGAGCCTCCATCTCCCAACGGGTACGGGAGTTACCCCAAGGACCGACCTCGGCGAAACCGGTGACGACGACGACCTTCTCCAGGTCGACCATGCCCTTGAGGCGGTCGTTGAGGGGAGCGATC